TTATTTTGATATATCACAGTGAAAGATTTATCGTCCTCTTTTTTTTTTTTTTTTTTTTTTTAAAAAAAAAAAAAAAAAAAAAAAAAAAAAAAAAGAAAAGAAAAAGAAAAAATCAAATAAATAAAAGGGGCTGGGAATGTAGCTCATTTTTAGAACACTTTGCCTATCATATGCACAGTTCTGAGTTCAATCCCCAGTCCCACAAAAAAAGTAAGAGAGAGGAGGGTATAGAAGGGAGAGGAGGGTATGGGGGGAGAGGAGGGTATAGGAGGGAGAGGAGGGAAGGAAGGAGGAAAGGAAGAAGAGAGGGAAGGGAGAAGGAAGGAAAGATAGAAGGAAGGAAGAGAGGAAGGGAGGGGGGAAGGAGGGAAAAATATTGGGAGGGATAGGAAGGGTCAAAACTGAGTACTGAGTCTGACTTTGGATTACAGATGTCACAGCTCAATGGATGCAGTCAGGGTGCCAGGAGAGGGATGTGGTGGCTGTGCATCCAGGAAGCAGCTTATTATGTGTTAGTCCCTAGAGTTACAATTTGGACATCAGTGGATCAGAGTTGATCCTATAGCTACTCCCTCCAAGCTGAAACATTTCCTCCTTAAGGATAGCAGAAGGCTCATAAGATTCAGGAAGCAAACAAAATGTACCAAGCTCTGGAAGCCCTTGAAAGCTACAAAATTCACAAGGCCCCTTCCATGTATTTTTAGGACTGCTGAGCTGCCTGCAAGTTGTTCCAGAGTTCCAGGAATACAGCTTTCATAAATTGTCACCCATGCTGGGCTTGGCTTTTTGGTAACGCAGCTACCTCTGAGTCACCCACACTCCTGTAAGTGATCTGTCACACTCCTATAAGTAAACCAATTACTCATTAGTTCATTGAACTAAATTTGGAGTGGAATTGGTCCCCTATTTAGGGTGTATAGATGTTTATGTCTCTCCAGGAACATTCACACAACTGGTAATTGGAGCTGGACCAGCTAGATGGAGGGAGAATGGAAGTTGTACACTGACAGGGAAGTGGAGGGGCACCTGAGTGGACCTAGGGGAGGGAGGGGACTTCAGAAAGCTCAAGCCCAGATCCTCTATGCTCCTCTCTTCCACTTTCAAGCATAAACCTTGAGCCCCAGACACTTTAATCCTTTTCGGATGTGGCCTTTTTCTTTCTTTCTTTCTTTCTTTCTTTCTCTTTCTTTCCTTCCTTCCTTCTTTCCTTCCTTCCTCCTTCCTTCCCTTCCCGTCCCCTTCCTTCCTTCCTTCCTTCCTTCCTTCCTTCCTTCCTTCCTTCCTTCCTTCCTTCCTTCCTTCTCTGTGATAATAGGGATTGACCCTTGGGCCTTATGCATGCTAGGCAAGCACTTTACCACTGAGCTGTAACCCTAACCTATGGATATGACCTTTTTAGGTTTTGTTGTTGTTATTTCTTTTGTTTCTAAGACAGGGTCTCACATAGAGACTAGGGTGGCCTTGAACTCACTTCAAAATCCACCTGCCCATCTCCAGAATGCTGGAATTAAAGGCGTGTGCTATAATGGCCTATAACGTGACCTTTCTGAAGAAGTTCCACTGGCCTAACTTCCTGACCTAGCAGCTTATACATTCCCAAAAGCCACATGCTCAGCACTCCTCTGAAGCCTTGCCCAAGCCCCTCAGCCATCCTCTGGCATCATATGCCTCTCTCACACACACACTTGCCATAAGATTGCTGTCAGTGGCCAAAGGACTCTGACCCCCTGCAGAAACCCTCAGGACCCACCTGTGCTGGCTTAACAAAGTCAGCCACATCCCACAGGCGGTTCTCCATATCCTTAGTCTGGGTCATGGAGACTCCTTTGAGTTTTGTGATGACAGAAATCTGGGGTTCTAGGTCCTGTTCCTGGTAGCCTTTTTTGGCAATAAGGGCCCACCTATGGAGGAGGTGATGGACAGCATAGTGTGAATAGGTGAGAAGAGGATGGGCTGTGCCCAAAACACTGGGCTCTCCTGGCATTCTCCCAGAGGCTCCTAGCTGGTCCTGGAGGGCCCCCAACCTCACCTCTTACTCCAGACCACTGAGCATGCAAGACATCAAGAGCCAAAGCCCTCAGATGGAGTCATCCACCACAGCCACTTTTCATAAGCCAGTGCCCCCCAAACACCCAGTGAGACCCAGCTCCCTCCTTAAAGGCTCCTCAGACACCCAACTACAGCAAGCAGTTTCTCTGGGAATCCCCAGTGCTCTATTGCTCACATATATCAAGGATTTTTACTCTCTGACCCATCAGGTTCCCTTCTGAGTTGCAGTGCTGTCCATGTGCACAGAGCCCAACATGGGGCTAGAAATAAAGTCCCATATGTGGGTACATGGCTTCTTGTATCCTGTTTTCTGAATGGACTAAGATCCTCCTTGCTGCTTACCTCTCACTTAACATCCCCACTTCATACTCCATAGCCACTCTCCCCCCACCCTCACCCCTATTCCCATCCTGAATCTTAACAAGCCAAGTCTTAGCCCTCAGCCAGCAAACCCGGATCATTCCAGCCAGCTTGAACTAGAGCTGTTCTCTTACCCGACCACGTAGGCCACCACTCCCAGTTGCAGCAGCCTCTGAAAGACGCCCACCCGCCAGTTCCTGGTCATCACATACTTCTCTGTCTTGTAATCCAGAAGCCCCCAGCCCAGCAGCCATGCAGCAGCTGCAGAGGCCATGTTCCCAGCTCCTGCTGGCTGCTAGTGCCCATGAGTCAGCAAGCAACTGCAGCCACAGCTGAAGGGAGGCAAAGCCGGCACCCACAGGCTCCAGGCCAACTTTGTTAAAGGGATATCTCCACTCAGGGCAGGATACTGGCTCAGTCCCAAGTCCCATCTGGTCTGGGCCTCCCATCTTGTCCAGAGTACCTCTGTTGGACCCTGGGCATACAGAGAGGAGTAGCTCTGGCTCTGCACATCAGCTCCACGTCCTTGTAGGTGTGGGTACCAGCATAGGGTAACAGACACGGGGGTGGGGAGGTGTCTGAGCTTAAACTTGCAAATTCCGAAGTGCACCGAGGTAAGTTTGATTTGAGATGGTGATGGAGCTGCTGAAGCAGCAGCATAACAAAAGCTAGACCTTGAGAGAAAATTGAGAACCCCCGGCCGTGGTAGTATGGCTATGGTTCCAGAAAGCTGGACTCTACGGGTTCCCCAGCCCTTCTCCTAGAGTCACCTGCCGTCCCAAGTGTAGTGATTAAAGTCTGGAGTAAGTCTAGAAAAGTCCATGAAAGAAGTATGAACAAGGTGCCCAGCCCTGTGTATGACGACCTGAAGTACTCTGCGCAGAAGAGCAACCTGCTCAAGGTCAACCTAGGCCAGTTGTGTTTCCGCAGCAACAAACAGCACCCGGTTTCCCCGGCGACCTCCGGAGGGGCTGGAGGACTCGCTACTGGCTCCAGCGACTGCCTGTAGTCCATAGGTCATATTTGATTGGTCAGCGTGGCCAGAGGGCCCTCCCACATCCCTGGGTTGCTTTCTGGGCGGTGAGCAGTGCTATCTCAGCCTCAGTATCCGCGACTGGGAAGCGGGGATTGTATGTTCATGAAGGGCCCCTGCGTGGAGTCTACGAAGAATGAAGATCGGAAGGAAGAAGCAATGGTCACTGAGCGTCCAGCAGAGGTCCTGGAGGCCGGGAACTACTGGACCACAGATTCGGACTCCGACCTGGAAACAGAAGGTGTTTCTCCATGCCCCCTGCGGGGGGGCGGGGGCTAGGCTGTACTCCTCACTTTGGGGGCTCCTCCCACAAGGGTGGAAGGAGATGAGCCGGAACGGGAATGCATCCTTTAAGAAACGATTTATTGATTTATTTATTTTATGTATATGTGCATGAATTTTTGTGCACCACATACCTGAAGTTTCCCAGGGAGATGGGTGCTGGAACCGAATCCAGGTCCTCTGCAAAAGTAGTAAGTGTTCTTAACTGCTGAACCATCTCTGTAGTCCAGGACTGCACCCCTTTGTGAGTTGCATTTAAGGTGACTGGCAACCCTTCAAGCCCCATGCCCTCTTGGAGGTATGATGAGTTCCAACATTTAGAACAGTGGTGTCACACTTCAAATGGGTTCAAGGCTGGGTGTCCCAGCCCACAGGTAAAACTTAGCTAATGAATGTATTGGATTTAGAATTGTTTCAGACTCCTCTCCCTGTAAAGTGTTCATAGATGTCGTGGTCTGTGAGCTAGGAATGTAACTCAGTTGATAGAGTACCTGCCTAGCATGCAAAAAGCCCTGGGTTTGATCCCTAGCACTACATAAACAGTGATGATACATGCTTGTAATCCCAGCACTTGAGAGGTAGAGGCAGGAGGATCAGAAGTTCAAGATTATCCTCAGCTAGCAAGCTTCAGACAAACTGGGGAGGTAGAGGCAGGAGGATCAGAAGTTCAAGATTATCCTCAGCTAGCAAGCTGAGGGGGAAACATTATGATCAGTGACACCTGGAGGTGTGAGGCAGGGCCAGTGAACACATCAGCATTAGGCAAGTGCTCCTTTTGGCCCTGACTAGCTTGGGGGCCTTGGGGAAAGGATTTGTTTTCTTTGAGCTTTGAGATCCTCAGCTGGAATATGAGCATAGTAGTCCATTAGCACAGGAAGAAAGGAGGGGAGGACAGGGGATGGATGCTGTGTCAACAAAGAGTTCCACATTTGTCCTCTTGTCCTGCTAGGTACCCATGGGCTTGGAGAACTGATCAGGGATACCCTGTACCTGGAGTCTTGCCAGGCCCATAGTGTTGTGCCAGTTTCCTGTTTTCTGCGCCAAGCAAGTGCCTCCGAATTGAACCTTCGCCACCGTGGTCTGGGGCCCCAGGTACCTGTGAAGGGACATTGGAGTCAGGCTTGGACAGGAAGGACGTGGGAGACAGTGGCCATGCCTGCCCATGAATCTATCTCACTAACTCACAGCCTATCTCTGTGACTGACATGTCCCATCTCTCAGTCCTGGGGGACAGAATGGAAGCTGTGACAGAGATAAGGACTGGGAGTTGCTGGACAGTAAGAGAAGTCTTCAGGAGGTAGATCTGAGTGGTGCCTAGAGGGAGAAGCAGCTATTTCCTGGGGGGTGCGGGAGAACATCAAGTAGACTAAGCTCCAAGAAGGTAAACTGAGGTAATAGTCACCTGTGTCTGGGCCCTGGGAAGGACCAAGCCCCTGTGGCTCCTGAGTCCCTCTATCCCTCAGGTCTCTCTGCTTTGTTCCAGGGGGCCCAGGCTTTGGTTTCCACCTTGACCTCCAATCCCTACATCAAGCGTCTGGATCTTCGGGACAATGGGCTCTTTGGGACCGGGGCAGAGGCTCTGGCAGATGTCCTGAGTAAGAACAGCAGTATCTCTGGTGGGTGCTGACTTTCTAAGTCTGGCAGCAGGCAGGCTTGGGTCCCCTCTTTCATCAAAGAAATGCTTCCCTCACCAGGTCTCTCACTTGAGGTGTTGCTGGGAGATAGAGAAGGTCTTCATCATGGGTGAAACAAATGGAGCAAGATTTGACTTTCTGGGGGTTTAGTCATTGGTGCAGCCAATGGTGAATGGTGCTTTTGCCCTGACCCACCCCACTGCTATCACTCTTTTATCCCCTGGCCAGTTCTACTCCCCCGAGGGACATAGTAGACTCCTAGTGCCTGAATGAAGGGTGGGAGAGTCCTCAACCCAGCGAAGCAAGGGCTGTACCATGCAAGAACTGGAAGGGCAAGGTAGGAGTTCAGTGACATTGCATCCAAATGCCAGCTTTGCCTGTCAAGCATGGGCTGACTTGGACAAGCAACATAACCTTGCTGATCCTGTTTTCAGTCTGTGAAATGACCCCATCAGCACCACTTAGCCCTTGGGGCTATGGCTAATATAAAATGAAACTACAAAAGTAGGGGCTGGGGGCCGGGTGTGGTGGCACATGCCTTTAATCCCAGCCCTTGGAAGGCAGAGGCAGGAGGATCTCTGTGAGTTCAAGGCCAGCCTGATCTACACAGTGCGTTCCAGGACAGCTGGGGCTACAGGGAGACCCTGTCTCAAAAAGACAGAAAAAAAAAAAACCAAAAAAAAACAAGTAGGGCTGGAGAGATGGCTCATTGGTTAGAGCACTGGCTGCTCTTGTAGAGGACCCAGGTTCAATTCCCAGCACCCACATGGCAGCTAACAACTGTCCATAACTTCAGTTCCAGGGGAATCCAACATCCTCTTCTGACCTCCATGGGCATTGCACAATATGGGTGTACTTATATACATGCAGGCAATACATTCATACACATAAAATAAAAAAATAGCCAGGCATGGTGGTGCACCCCTTTAATCCCAGCACTTTGGAGGTAGAGGCAGGTGGATCTCTGTGAGTTCAAGGCCAGCCTGGTCTACATAGTGAGTTCCAGGGCAGCTGGGGCTGTACAGCAGACAGGGCCTCTTGTGGGTGGGTTATATTGTACCAGGCTCCAGTCAACAGGGTGGACTTTCTACCACAGTGTTCTCACCAAAGAATCATGGAATGGGGAGGCCAGAGCCCCAAGAGAACCCAGCCAATGGATGGCAAAACTGACACCCTGGCACCCCAGGACAATCAAATTGCAAACCCCATTCCTTTGCTTCAGACCTGGAGGTTTATGAGCTAGAGGGGAGTGAAAGAGGATGAGGCCTGGCTTCATATCCCACTGACCAAGAAGTGATGCTGTTGCCAGATGTGGACCTGTCAGAGAACAAGCTTGGAGTGGCAGGGTTCCAGGCCATCTGTAGAGCCCTTGCCTTGAACCCAGCTGTGCAGAAGATGCAACTGGCAGGGAATGACCTGGAAGAACAGGCAGCCCAGCACCTTGCTGATCTCCTGATGGTTCACACAGGTCTGAAATCCCTAGACCTCAGCTATAACCAACTGAACGACCTGGCAGGTAACAGCTGGTCTGGGCAGTCATGGGGCATAAGGCATTAGCACACTTTGCCCTCTGTTGACAGGGAATGGGGAAGTGGGATCTGGTTTAGCCACACCCAGCATCTGCCAAAGAATATCCTGGCTTTTTTGGTCCCCACACTTCCCTTAGCCACTCCTCCATTCAGCCACACATTCCTCTGCTGTAGGGATCTATCTGTGAATAAAACAAAATTCTTGACTTCAAGAAACACATGCTGGGGCTGGAGTGGCAGTTAAGAGCATTTGTTGCTCTCACAGGGGAGCCGGGTTCAGTTTCCAATTACCCACATGAAGGCTAAGAACTGTCTATAACTCCAGTTCTAGGGGATCTGATGCCCTCTTCTGGCCTCCATGGGCATTACACACATGGGTGCACTTAAATACATGCATGCAAACACTCATACACATCAATTTTTTTAATAAAAAAAGAAACACATGCTAACAAGCTAATTCTCACTAACTGTTGGTGCTCCCAAAGAAACAATGTATAGTTCTAGGAAAGAATAGTGACTTCTTACTTTAGAGGAGATATTTAAGCTGATATGTATGTATAGGGTACACAGGGAGGAACATTAGGGTTTGGGAAAAGGACAGACTCAGCTAGACTGTTTGACTTCCCCATGGGGACCTGAGGTTATACCTGACTCTGGGGTGAAGGGGCTTGAGTCTGAGTCCTCCGTGATCCATGGCAATGGAGAACCCACCTACATGTGCACACAGGATGGTTGAAGTGTCAGGGAGACAGCTTTGTCATGACAGACAAGTAGAACAAAGAACCTCACCCTCCAGCTGTTCAGCAAAGAAGGGCCCAGAGGACCACTGTTCTCCCATCCTATTCCTAGAAGTGTCTAGGGAAAGTGGAAGTTCCTGTATCTGAGAACCTAGAAGTATAAGAGCCAGTGCGAGTCCCTGAGCCCCAGTTGAGAGAGGCAGTTCTCAGAACTTTCACGTTGGCACAGGGAGCTCTCCAAGGTGCTAAACGTGTCCCCTGCTGAGTTTCTAACAGAGCAGGTGGGGGGTGGGGGTCTGGGAGCACTCAGTCCTTTGGGATTTCCTCCCATCCCTGTGTATTTCCTTTGTTTGGTTTAGTTCAGTTTGGTTTTTTAGAGAAGGTCTCATCATGTAGCCCAGGATAACTTGGATTTCACTGTGGAGTGCAGGCTGGCCTTGAACTCCCTATACTCCTGCCTCAGCCTTCTGTGTGCAGGGATTACAGGTATGTGCCACCACACCCGGCTTCTATGAGCACTTCTTCAAACATGGCTTACTAGACCTAAGACCATGGAAATGGGCCAAATTTTAATCTCTAAGGGACTGCAAGCTGGGCACAGAGATCAGACAGAGTCAGTTCAGAGCTAGGGAGGCCTATAAAGAGTTACAAGACTGCACTATCATGGAAAGGTGGAAAGACAGTGACCATGGGTTCTAAGAGGACTAAGCCTAGGCTGACCAGATAGGTAAGGTTTCCTGAGTATTCCAACCCAGGTTAGGAGGCTGAGAACCTGTTGGTCAGGTGAATAGGGGGCACTAACATGGAGAACCAGAGTGTGGCATGAACAGAGCTGGGACTGGAGAACTGTCAGAAAATCAGTCTGGCTAGTGCTGACAGAATGGAAAGCTGGCTGGGGTGTGTGGCTCAGCCCATTTTACGTGCTAGATATCTGTTGGAGTTTTCACCTGTTTTCTTTTGCTATCACTCTTGCATCTTCTCTACCACAGCTATGGCAGACATGGAGGGCTGAATCTCTGCTGATACCTACCAGTTGTAGAAATCTTGCTGAAATGCTAATTCCAGCTTTATGGCTCTTACAGCACTGCCTACCTCCTTGACCACATATATAGTAGCACCTAAACTCCTTGGCTTAGCATTCAAGGCCTTTCAGCCTCTCTCAAGTGCCAGTTGCTCCCTACTTCATTGCACCATCTTCCTTCCTCTCCTTCCCCTGGCCCCAGACCTCAGTATGTTTCCACAGGCATCAGCTCAGCTGTTTTTCTCCTTTGCTGTCCATCATGCATGCATATAGGTGTGGGGAGTTTCTCAGTTCTGGGTTACCTGCTTGGTTCTTACTTCCTGACCCCACCAACACTACCACCATGTCTCTGCCCATTTCTGTTTGTAGTTTAAAGTAGCCGGAATCTCATTAATTTGAACTTATATCTTCCCAATTACATGTGGATTCCTTGCCAGGCATAGTGGCTTCTATTGTCAGCATGAGGGAAGTGGTAACAGAAAGATCTGGAGCTCAAGACTAGCCTGGGTGACAGAGTGAGTTCCAGCCTGACTGGGCTACAGAAAAAGTCTTTCTTTCTTTCTTTCTTTCTTTCTTTCTTTCTTTCTTTCTTTCTTTCTCTCTCTCTCTCTCTCTCTCTCTCTCTCTCTCTCTTTCTCCCTCTCATCTCTGTCTCTCTCTTTCTCCTTGCAGGCAATACAATACAAGCATATGCTGGATTCTGTGATCCTCCTGCCCAGCAGAATCTCTGGCACATAGTGAGCATCAACATCAATCAGTTTTTGGAGAAGTTAGCAGAGTGAATAAGAAGATCTCTTGGTGTTTCTACAGGAGAGACACTTGGACCAGCCCTGGCAGAAAACACAGGCCTCACAGAGCTTAACCTGAGCTGGAATCACCTCCGAGGCCCAGGAGCTGTTGTACTTGCCAGGAGCCTAGAGGTATGAGACCCTTGCCCAGTCAGCCCTCGGAGCCTGTTCTTTGGGGCAAGTCTTCCCTGAGCCAGCTTTTTGACTTTCCAGTACCTCAGAAATGAATTTTTCTAGCCCCACTTATTGACAACACACTACACTAACTCTTATGTCATTTCCTGAAGAATCCACAGATGGATGCCAAGTGCCTTCTCCAGACATTCACATTCAGCTGATAGAGGGGACATCTGTACAGTCTGGTGATATTACTGTTAACAGTCCATAGATGCTTTCCTGACACCCTCTCATCTGCTTCCTTGCATGCTATAATTCATAGGTCTTTGGAATAGATGATTCAAGCCCTACCAGAGTACCATGAAGCATCTTCATTGACTCCAAAGGCAACTGAATTTGTGGAACCTACCTTAGGAAAATGACAGTTACTGCCTTGCCCTCTTACAGGGACTGATTACTGGAGGACCTGTCTCAGAAGGGGACAGGTCAAAGTATTCACCTTTCTCCCCATCATAGTCTCTTGGGAGGCTTCATTCATCAGCCTGTCACCAGGCTCCTGGGCCCCTGGGGTTTCTCTGTGCCCCAGGGTGCCTGCCTCAGAAGCTCCCCCACCTCATCTGAGGATCATTTGACCACCCCACCTCATCTCTGAGGATCATTTACACCCTTACCTAGCATCCTCTGCTGTGCTTCAGGCTATTTGGCCCTACTGCTCACTGTTGGCCTGATAGCTAATAGTACTCAAAATTCACTTTGTCCCAGGATCTCTGCCCTCTGTCCTTTGTCTTTGATCAAGCCTCCTTGCACTCTCAGGTTGTGACCATGCTGCTTTCTGCACCATCAAATGTGGACTTGCGGCTTTGCTCTTTGTGTTCTAGGCAAATATATTCCTAAAAATTCTAGACATCTCTTATAATGGCTTTGGAGACCCCGGAGCCTCCGCAGTGGGTGAGGCCCTTAAAGCCAACAATGTGTTGGAGGAACTAAACATGAGGTAAGAAACAAAGGTGCTGCCCTTTGGGCTGGACACAGTGATCTGGCTGCTATTCACTGTGTACCTTGAATATGGTTTGAGCCACAATCTCAGAGCACTCAGCTCTGTTCATCTCTCTCAAGGTCATTGCTTGGGACCTGAGGATGTGCTCAGTTGGTGGAGTACTTGTCTAGCATGCATGGGGCTGTGCGTTTCATTTCCCATCACATAAAGCAGGAGTGGTGCTGCATGCCTGTTTTCTAATTTCATTTCTATTGTTGTGATAAAACACTCTGACCAAAAAGCAACTTCAGGGGAGGAAGTGTTTATCCAGCTTACAACTCAGGTTACAATCCATCATTTTGGGGAAGTCAAGTCAGGAACTTGAGCAGCTAGTCAGTTCACATCTACAGTCAAGAGCAGAGAGGAACGAATGCCCCCATGCAGCCTGGTTGCAACCTTGCCGCGGATTCAGCTAGCCTTCTCCTCTTACACAGTTCAGGGTCCAGCCCGTGAACTGGTGCCACCCACATTCACTGTTGGTCCTCCTACAGCAATTCACAATCAAGATAATCCCTTACAGACATGTTAACAGGCCAACCTGATCTAGATAATTCCTCATTAAGACTCTCTTCCAGGTAATTGTAAGTTGTGTCACGTTGATAATAAAAACTAACCAGCACAATCCATCCCTTGTCAACTTGATACACAAATATATGACTTTAAGTCATAACTTTCTATCCTTTGTCCCAAGGTCTCTTATTTTTTTTATTTATTTATTTATTTATTTATTTATTTATTATTTATTTATTTATTTATTTACTTTTGAAAAAATTTTTAGCTGGGTGTGGTGGCACATGTCTTTAATCCCAGCACTTGGGAGGCAGAGGCAGGTGGATCTTTGTGAGTTCAAGGCCAGCCTGGTCTATGTAGTGAGACTACAAGGAGACCTTGTCTCAAAAAGACCAAAAAAAAAAAAAAAGATAAAGATTTATTTATTTGAAGTTTATGTGTATGCATTGCCTGCATGTATGTGCATGCAAGGCTCATGGAAGCCAGAAGGTGTTGAATATCCTGGAGCTATGTGCTATGTACTGAACCCAGGTTCACTACAAGAGCATCTGAGCCATCTCACTAACCCTTCATGTTTATTTTATGATATAAAATATAGTCCTCAAAAATTCCAACACATGCTGGCATAGTGGTACCTGCTTTCAATCCCATCACTTGTGAGGCAAAGGCAGGCCGATCTCTTTCAGCTTAAGGCCAGCTTGGTCTACATAGGGAGCTGCAGGCCAACAGGGCTATATAGTGAAACCCTTGCCTGGACTCAGGGCAAAATTTGGTCACAGACATCAAGCAAAAAATGTATTTTCAACACTTTAAAAGTACAAGGTCTCAGCCGGGTGTGGTGGCGCACGCCTTTAATCCCAGCACTTTGGAGGCAGAGGCAGGCGGATCTCTGTGAGTTCAAGGCTAGCCTGGTCTACATAGCAAGTTCCAGGACAGCTGGGGCTACAGGGAGACCCTGTTTCAAAAAAGACCAAAAAAAAAAAAAAAAAGAACAAGGTCTCTTTGAAGTCCAAAATCTCTTTACAAATCCAAAATCTGGGGCTGGAGAGATGGCTCAGCAGTTAAGAGCACTGGCTGCTCTTGCAGAGGACAGGGGTTTGGTTCCCAGCATCCCCATGGCAGCTAACAATCATCAGTAACTCCAGTTCTAGGGGATCCAATGCCTTCTTCTGACCTCCACAGGCATTGAACAACACAGGTGCACCTACCTATATGCAGGCAATATACTTATGCATAAACATTGAATTTCATAGAACAAAATACATTTTAAAAAGGAGAGCCGGGCATGGTGGTGCATGCCTGTAGTCCCAGCACTTGGGAGGCAGAGGCAGGCAGATCTCTGTGAGTTCAAGGCCTGTGTGGTCTACATAGTGAGTTCTAGGCTAGCTGGGACTACAGGAAGACCCTGTCTCAAAAAGACCAAAAAATAAATAAAAAATAAAAAATTTTTTTTTTGTCTTTTTGAGACAGTCTCCCTGTAGTCCCAGCTGAGCTGAACTCTCTATGTAGACCAGGCTAGCCTTGAACTCACAGCGATCCATCTGCCTAAAGGCGTGCACCACCACACCTGGTGACAAATTTTTTAAAAATATTTTATTTATTTTATTTTATGTGTATGTGTGTAGGTAAGTGCACTTGTGTCATGCAATGCCTGCGGAAGACAGAAGAGGCTGTCAGATCCCCTGGAACTGGAGTTACAGACAGCTGTTAGCTGCCATGTGGGTGCTGGGATTCAAACCCAGGTCTTCTGCAAGAACAGTCAGTGTTCTTAACTGCCGAGCCATCTCTCTAGCCCCCAAAATATTTTTTAAAAATCCCAAACCTGGGATTGGAGAGATGGCTCAGGGGTTAAGAACACTAACTGTGCTAGCAGAGGACTAGGTTAGGTTCCCAGTAGCCACATGGTGGCTAACAATCGTTTATAACTCCAGTTCCAAGGGGGAACTAAAGGCATGAGCCACCAGGCCTGGCTATAAATAACTTTTTTTAAAAAACCAAAATCTCGGGGTTGGGGATTTAGCTCAGTGATAGAGCATTTGCCTAGCAAGCACAAGGCCCTGGATTCAGTCCTCAACTCTGGGGAAAAAAACCAAACCAAACCAAAATCTCTTGGGGATGGAGAGATGGCTCAGAGATTAGCAGCGCTTAATGCTCTTCCAAAGAACCTAGTTTGGTTCCTAGCACCCCCACTGGGCAGTTCACAACCACCTACATCTCCAGCTCCAAGGGATCTGAAGGCCTCTTCGGACTCCTCTGGTACCTGTACTCACACATAATTAAAAAAAAAAAAAAGGAGGGGGGGTTGGAGAGATGGCTCCGCAGTTAAGAGCACTGGCTGCTCTTGCAGAGGATCTGGATTTGATTCCCAGCCCCCCCATATGGCTGCTAACTATTCATAACTCCAGTTTCAGGGGGATCTGGCGCCCTCTTCTGACCTCTGTGGGCATTGCATGACAGGAGTGCATTTACATATATTCAGGCAATACACTCATACATATAAAATAAAAATAATATGTAAAAAATAAGAAAAAAATATTTTAAAATCCTTAGTCTCTAAACTGTGGGTTCTTTAAAAATCAAAAGCAAATTACATATTTAAACATTCTTCTTCCAAAAGGGACAAATCTGGGCATAAAAGCAACCATACCTAAGCAAACCCCAAATCCAGCAGTATAAATCCAATCTTGTAGCTCAGTGTCCAACATCTGAGATTTGTAATCTCCTGGGCTGTGAAGGACTTAGGCAGCCCCACCTCTCCATCTGTACCATCGATAGCACACACAACTTACTTCTTAGGCTGACTCCATTCACACCTGCAACTCTCCTTGGCAGATATCCTAACATCTCCAGTATCCTCAGGTCTCCATTGCATCTGAGGCCTCACCTTCACCAATGGTCTCTCAGGGCCCCTCACAGGACTCTAACCATAACATAAGGGGCCAGGCCTCAGCTACTCTCGATGACCCCTTCAATCTTTCATCTTCCAGACCTTCAAAACCAGTACCACATGGACAGTGTTTATGACATTGCCAGGTTCTGCCAGCTTGAAATGTAGCCTGGTCCCCTTGGATCAGCTTCTGTACTCTGACCCTGAGGAAATGCTTTCCTGCTGTCCCAGTGAAGCACAGGAGGTTTCACCTTAGTGGTGCTGGGCGATTATCAATCACAGCGGACTCTTCAGCCCCAGCCTGATCAGCACACACAAATTCCTATATAAAATATCACATGAATAGTCCCTAGTCCAATTAATGACAGTCTTTGTTTCTATCTGAAATGTGATCTGGGCCTCCACTGTCCATGTTTTCTCAGCATTTCTAACTTCCAAGCTCCCATGAGAACTGTCCATTCAGTTCCACCCACAACACTCAATAACTTTTCCAATCTAAAGGAACAAAATCTTCCACATTTGTGATTCTAACACTTGAGGTGGTGGAGACAGAAAAATCAAAAGCTCAAGGTCATCCTCAGCTACATAGGAAGTTAAAGGCTAGCCTGGGATACATGAGTCTCTGTCTTTAAAAAAAATAGAGGAGGAGAAAAAGGAGGGAGAAAAAGTCAGAAAGAACTATGTATGATTGATTTCAGAGACAAAGACCTAGAGGAGGAGGACGAGAGCTGGACAGGGAGCTGGGCCCAGAGCAGAACAGGTATGGGTTGCCAGCTGTCACAAAAACACGTGGAGCATCTGCTGAGCTTGTTGGGCCGAGGAGCCACCAGGGGGAAGGGATACTCTAGGTGTGCTTGCCACTCACGAGGCAGTAGCATATCCACCTTTTAGACATTGAGTGGGACCTGGGCATGAATGGGGGGGGTTACTGTGAAGCTCAACCTGCTTGATACAATAGCAGCTCCAGGAGGGACTCTGGAGCACTGAGCCCAGAAAGCTGTAAGATGAATGTCTTTTTTCTTTATTAAAAAAATATTTTGCCAGGCGTGGTGGTGCACGCCTTTGATCCCAGCCCTTGGGAGGCAGAGGCAGGCGGATCTTTGTGAGTTCGAGGCCAGCCTGGTCTACATAGTGAGTTCGAGGCCAGCTGGGGCTACAATGAGTCCCTGTCTCAAAAAAGACAAAAAAATATTTTATTTATTATTTTTATTTTATGTGTATGAGTGTATTGCCTGTATGTATGTAAGTGTGTTGTGGTCAGAAGGCATCAATTTCCCTGGAACTGGAGTTACAGACTGTTGTTAGCTGTTGTGTGGGTGCTGGGACTCGAACCTGGGTCCTCTGCAAGAGCAGCCAGTACTCTTAACTACTGAGCATCTCCCCAGCCCCTGGCTTCCCTTTTTATACCTTCTTCCTCTTCACATCCTTCCCAATTTCTGGTTGTCACTATTATATTTTTAAGGTTGATTTTGCTGTTGTTAGTATCTACACATGAGAGAAAACTTGTTTTTGTCTTTCTGTGTCTACTGATTTCACTGAACATGATGTCCTCCTGTTTCATCCATTTGCTGCAGGAGGCAGTGTTCCTTCTTTATGGCTTAATAGACTATTGTGTGTGCATACACACTGCATTTTCCTTATGCATTCATCATGAGAATGTTTCCCCCATAGGCTCCAAGTATTTGAATCTGTGGCCCCAACTGGTGATGCTGTTTGTGGATGTTTAGGAGGTGTGGCCATCCTGCGAGAAACAGGTAGACTTTAAGAGTTCATCGGCCCATTTTTCAGTTTTGCTCTCTCTGCTTTCTGTGTGTACTTGAAGATATGGGCTTTCTACTCTGGCTGCCTCCTGCCATGCCACCTCCTGACATGAGGGATTCTTAACTCTCTGGAACCCTAGCCCAATAAACTCTTCTTCTATAAGTTACCTTAGTCATAGTGTTTTATCACAGCAAAATAAAAACAACTAATACAGGGCACCTAGGTTTATTTCACATTTTTTATTTTTTAAAAAAATATTGTGCTGGACAGCTTTAGTTGTCAACTTGACATACCTGGGTAGAGGGAGCCTCAATTGGGGTATTTTCTCCATTGGACTGACTTGTGGCCATGTCCACAGGTCATTTGAGTGATGTGGGAGGACCCAACCCACTGTGGGCAGTGCCACACCTGGGCAGGTTCTGTATTGTATAAGAAAGCAGGCTGATCATGGGCCAGAGGAGCAAGCCAGTAAGCAGTGTTCCTACATGGCCTGTGCTTCAGCTCCTCCCTCCAGGTTCCTGCCCTGAGCTCCTACCTTGGGCTCCCTCAGTGATGAACTGTGACCTGGGAGATATAAGCCAAATAAACCCTTTCCTCTCCAAGTTGGTATGGATCAGAGTATTTTGTCACAGCAATAGAGAAACAAACTAGAACAAATATGATATTAATTTTCTTTTATGTGCATGAATGTACTGCCTACATGTATGTAAGTGTCATGCAGTGCCCTTGGAAGTCAGAAGAGGGCATTGGATCCCCTAGAATGGGAGTTACAGATGGTTGTTAGTTGCCTTGTGGGTGCTGGGAACCAAACCTGGGTCCTCTGCAAGACAGCCAGTGCTCTTAACTGCTGACTCATCTCTCCAGACCCTTATTTCACATTTATATATATATATATTATTTTTATTTTATGTGTATAAGTGTAATGTCTACATGTAGGTAGGTGCACCCATGTCCTGCAATGCTCGCAGAGATCAGAAGAGAGCATCAGATCCCCTGGAACTGGAGTTATGGATGGTTGTCAGTCATGTGGGTGCTGGGAATCAAACTCAGGTCCTCAGCTAGAACAACCAGTGTTCTTAACTACTGAGCCATCTCCCCAACACCTATTTCACATTTCTAAAGAAGTTACTAATTTTTAAATGATAACTAAGTACTTTAAATATTTTATTTATTATTTTTATTTTATGTGTATGAGTGTATTGCCTGCATGTAGGTAAGTGTACCTGTGACGTGCAATACCCATGCAGCGTGAGAAGAGGGCATTAGATCCCCTGGAACTGGAGTGACAGACAGTTGTTAGCTGCTATGTGGGTGCTGGGAATCAAAGCCCAGTCCTCTGTAAGACCAGTCAAAGCTCTTAACTGCTGAGCCATCTCTCCAGCCCCAAAAGTTATTTTTATGTATGTTTTACCTGCCTGTATGTAGGTGCACCACGTGTGTGCAATGCCGACAGAAACCAGAAGAGAATATTGGATCCCCTAGAACTGGAGTTGTGGATAGTGGTTAGCCACCATGTGGGTGCTGGGAACTGAACTCAGGTCCTGTACAAGAACAGCCAGTGCTCTTAACCACTGAGCCATCTCTCCAGCCCCTTATTTCACTTTTTTAAATTAATTTTATGTGTATGAGTGTATTGCCTGCATGTATGTGAGTGCACCCGTGTCATGCAATGCCACAGAGGTCAGAAGAGGGCTTCAGGTTCCCCTGGAACTGGAGTTAAGGACAGTTCATAGCCGCCATGTGGGTTCTGGGAATCGAACCCAGGTCCTCTGCAAGAGCAGTCAGTGCTCTTAACCGCTGAGCCACCTCTCCAGCCCCATATTTCACATTTTAACTGTGATGGATGTCTGTGTCTTTCTTGTTGCAGCAACAACCGAATCTCCAGGGTAGGAGCCCTGAGGTTGGGGCTGGGCCTCCAGGTCAACCAGACACTGAAGATTCTTATTGTAAGTTCAAGGCTACTAGGGGAGGCCCTAGCATAGCTAGCCCTGTGTCTCTTCACATGGGTCTTTACCCCACCAACCCCTTACCACAATTGGGCACCAGAGCCCAGATGGGAGATCTCTGGGAGGGGGGGCTCCTAGTTTCTTGTGACCACTTCCCACCTTGCCATTGAACTTCCCACCCCCAGCCTGACCCATGCTGAGCTTTAGGCTCACACTTTCCACACTTCTCCCAGCTGTTCTCTCCTTGCTGCCCCTTTTCCTGCCCCCACCAAGGAGTTCTGTAGCATACAAGGCAGCCAGAGCACCCCTCACTTTGCTTTTATCTTCTCCCCTGCTTCTTCTGGCCTTGCTTGAACTCAGGTCAGTTCAGGGGTACCAACTGGCCACATTCAGACATACCTGATGCCTTTTGTACCCAGCAAGAGCTCCCTTCCTCCAGGTTTACAGGTAGTAAAGGGGTCATTGAGCAGCGCTGACAGCAAGGACAACAGGGAAGGAGCCAGGTGAAAGAGAATGGGTCTCAGTAGGCAGCTGTACCAACATGTGCCAGGGGGCAGTATCTCCAGTCGGAGACATGGGGTGCACCTGGCTCTGCCTGGTCCTTAACTTCCCACCCAAGCTTCTCTCATTAGCAATTCCACATTCTGCCCCACAGGAACCAAGACGTGTTTCAAGCTTGGATCCACATTCCTAGCCATCAGCTACATAACCCCCAAATCACAATGAGCCCCAGGGTCCTACCTGGAAGTATCACCTCCTTCTTAGAGTTGCTTCTTGGTGGGGGGAGCCAAGCAGAAACCAGGGCCCAAAACTCACTATTCCTCTCCCCAGATCTTCTCCAGAGAGTTCCTTACTAGCTCTTCCCTCTTCTCACATCCTCTCCTTGGGTCCTGTTTTCCTGGTTTCCCCAGCTCTGCTTCTTCCTGCCCTTCTGATACTTGGAGAACATCACAGATGATGTGGGCTTTACCAACCCTCCTTTTCCAAGTTCACAGCTCTCATCTCAGGCTGCTCAGATTCCACATGCACACATAGCTCTGTCTTCCACTTCTGCTTTCTTTCCTTCTGCTCCTTCTGAAACCCAGTCTGTCTACCTCTCCTGTGACACTCAGCTGTCCTCCTGCATGGGTGGATATACAATCTCTCACTGAACTTATCACATGGAATATATGTGCTATTTCCTCCTCCTGCCTAGCAGGAGAGCTCTTTCAGGGCGAGGTGCACTCTTCCTCTCACCCCCAGCCTAGCAGCACCCTCACCCAGGGCACTGTGCCCCTTGAAGCCATGCCTGCTGAGCTGAGACAGCGCAGTCATCCTAGCCGTGTCATCAGAACTGAGGAACCCTCCGTCCCATGCACATTGCCCTCTGTCTTCCCAGGGTTCAGCTTCTGTCTGTTCTATCGCTAATTCCCTATTGCTGTCCTATCATCACTCTTTGGAGACAAGGTCTCGTGTAACCTAGGCTGGTCTCTGTTTGTTTGTTTGTTTGTTTGTTTTTGAGACAGTCTCCATGTTGCCCCAGCTGGCCTGGAATTTGCTATGTCAACCAGGCTGACCTCAAACTCACAGAGATATGCCTCTCAAATACTGGGACTAAAGATGTCTGCCTCCATGCCCAGCTAGACTGGTCTCTTTACTTCCTATGTAGACTCCTAATCCTCCTGCCTCTTCCTCCTGGATATTGGGCTTATGGGCATGTACCACCATGCCATTCTCTAGTGTAAATATCTTTCTTAGGTTTCCAGGAATCCCATTCGAAGTGAAGGCTGCTTTGGTCTCCTTAAATCTGTCCGGAACAACACATCGTCTGCCCTAGAACTGCTGGACTTTTCTGTAAGAGTTTCTTGTAAGCCTCATCTCTGATCTTCCAACAGCTCTGTGAGCTATTATCATCTCTATGTCAGAGGAGTGAAGTAAGGGTTGAATAACATGCTCTTCTCAGATACATTGGATAACAGAATAAGCATTCCAACCCAGGCCTGTTGGTCATGAGGCCGTCTGCTTTCCCTCTGGGTCAGTATTCTCCAAGGTCTCACCTTAGACCCCAGCTCAGATTCTTCATTGGCTGAAAGAGACAAGATGGAGATTGGGCATGTTGTTTATTTTCTTTGGGTTTAGATCTGCAGATTCATTATTTGGAAGGGTGCCTGCCTCTTCCCCTCACCTTCCCCAGCCCATTCCCTCATACTCCTACCTGCCTGTAAATGGATGGGGTGGCTTTGAGGGAAACTAGGACCCTTTTTCATTGAATTTAACTTTTTTTTTCAATAGAGTCTCAATATTTAGTGCTGGCCTGCCTGGAAACTTGCTATTTTTTGTTTGTTTTTGTTTGGGAGCATTTTTTTTTTGAGGCAGGGTCTCACTGTAGCACCAGCTGTCCTGGAACTCACTATGTAGACTAGGTTGGCCTCAATCTCACAGAGATCCACCTGCCTCTGCCTCACAAGTGCTGGGATTAAGGGCATATATCACCATGCCTAGCCTGAATTTTGCTTTTTTGTTTTGTTTTGTTTTGTTTTTGAGACAGGGTCTCCCTGTAGCCCTAGCTGACCTGGATTCGCTATAGGGACCAGGCTGGCTTCAAACTCACCGAGATCCGCCTGCCTCTGCCTCCCAAGTGTTGGGATTAAAGGCATGCACCACCATGCCCGGCCCTGAATTTTGCTTTTTAATACAGAAAAATAAAGGCTGGGTATGGTGGTATACTCCTGTAACCCTAGCACTTAGCAGGTAGAAACAAGAGGATCAGAGGTTCAAAGTCATTCTCAGCTACATATTGAAGCTACCCTGGGGTACATGAGACCTGTCTCAAAAAACTATACATATGGGCCTGGGTTGATGGCTCCATAAGAGTGGGTAAGAGTGCTTGCTGTGCAATCATGAATACTTCAGTTTGAAACCCCAGCACCCACATAAAAAGTCAGACATGGCCACACACGCCTGGAACACCAGCACTGTGGGACACAAAGACAAGATCACTGGGGCTTGCTGGCAACAGCCCAACTCCAGAATCAGTGTGAGACCTTGTCTTAAGGGAATGAGGCAGAGACAGACATCCAGTGGCCTCCTCTAGCCTCCACATGTGTACATGGGTGTGCATGCCTACAGGTGTATGTAATACACACCACATATATACACCTATATCACATACATTCAGACTCAAACACATATGTACACCGCCAAAAAACCATAAGGGCTGAGGAGATGGCTCAGTGGGTAGAGCGAGATGACAGCTCTGTAGAAAGGGCTCTCATGAAAAGGCCTTGTCGGTACTACTTTTCTCTTTCATCCCTTTGTCTTTAAAAAGAATAAGTCTATAGTGCTGGTGAGCTATAAACTTTAAATATTTTATTATTTTTATTTTATGTGTATGAGTGTATTGCCTTCATGTAGGTAAGTGCACTCATGTCGTGCAATGCCCGTGGAGGTCAGAAGAGGCTGTCGGATCCCCTGGGACTGGAGTTACAGATAGTTGTTAGCTGCCATGTGGGTGCTGGGATTTGAACCTGGATCTTCTGCAAGGACAACCAGTGTTCTTAATCACTGAGCCATCTCTCCAGCCCCTTAACTGACTTTTTTAAAGCTTTTAAAAAAAGTAAGTTTATAGCGCTGGTCGGATCCCTTGGAACTGGAGTTAAGGATGACTGTTAGCCACTATGTGGGTGCTAGGAACTTAGGTTCTTCCCAAGAGCAGCCAGTGCTCTTAACCACTGAGCCACCTCTCCAGCCCTGCAATCCCTTTGTTTTATTTTTTTTTAATTAAGGAGCCAAGTATGATGGCATATGGCCTGTAATCCCAGCAATTGGGTGATAGAAGATCTGGAGCTCAAGGCCAGCATCACCTACAGAGTGAGATTGAGACCAGCCTATGGTCCAATGAGACCTTGTCTCAAAAAGCCAAAAATAAACAAAAAAGGATTAAAAGACACACATATTAAATATAGATGTCAAACAGAATGTACCCCTGTAACTAAGCCAGATCAAGAAATAGAGCATGCCCCTAAGGCCTCTCGAGTACCTTTGCTCTCCTACTATAGTGGTTTGGGATGTATGAAATGGCCAGCCACAGGAGAGAAACTGCCCAAAGGAGCTGCTTTGAGACCTGAATGTGCAAATGAGAATAACCAAGTCCTCAGGAAGTGATAGTCACTGTCTTGTAACGGTTTCTTCTTAGGATATCCAAGTGAACAGAGAGTTCGAAGAACTCGCTAGCTCAGTGAAGGTCATTCTTCCAGGACTTTGTATAAAGACTGGTGCTTTCAAAAATAAAGAGTGGCTGCCAGCCTTCAAGCCATCCCCACCAGCATCTGTCCCTAAATGACTTTGGATCTCTTCTCTAAAGCCATTTCAACTTCTGTGTCACATCGCTACCCATTTGAATTACATGTCTGTCTTCCTTTCTGCTGTATGGCACCTGCAATAACCTGGATTCACTCATATAACAGAAAACCCTACCATGAATGACACTGGATGGACACAGGGTCAAAGATGTCCCTGTCATCAGTTGTTCATGTTCATATGAGGTATGCAAGTGGCATTCCCAGACTCTTGCAAGAAGGCAAACTGCCATATCATTTTTGGAAGGCAACTTTTCATTATGCACTGTACTTTAAAATCACCTGTACTTTTTGGTCCAGTTGATTGACTAGTCTGTGCTACAGAATAACCAGAGATGCATAGAAAGATTGGTGCCAACTGGCTGGGGATGTAGCTCAGTTGGTAACATGAAGAAAACCCTGGGTTCGAGTCCCTAGCACCACATACACTGGGCATGATGATACATACTGTAGTCCTAGAACTCCAGAAGTACAGGCAAAAGGATCAGAAGTTCAAGGCCATCCTCTGCTACACAGTTGAGTTTGAGGTTAGTCAGGAATACATAAGACTCTGTCTCATAAAAAGAAAAAAGAAAGAAAAGATTCCTAAAGAGCTGATGGTACACCCCTGTGATTCCAAAACTTGGGAGGCTGAAGCAGAAGGATAGTGGCTTTGAGACCAGCCTGAGCTACACAGCAAGACCCTGTACCAAACAAACACTGGTGCCTGAAGGTGTTCCCTGAAACCAGCTGTTTGTAACAATGAAAACTGAAAATAAGATAAATTCCTGATAATTAAAATTTGGAGCTCTGCCAATATTAAAAGTCACATGGTCAAAGAACATGAATTGAGCAGTTCATGAAAAAATGCATGATTAATTCCAGCTGCGAATAACAGGACCAGGTAGTTTCTCTAGTAGTTTCGTAAAAGACTAATCAGAATTGCCACAGCACCTAGTAACACCATCCATGTTTTACATGAGATGAAATGAAGACATATCCACACAGAAACTTGTATATGAATGTTCACGGCAGCCTTACTAATAATATCCAGAATGTCCAAGAGCTACCAGTGGATAAGCACAACTGGCATATCCACATAATGAAACACTAATAATATGGTAATAAAAGGAATAAATTTGGGGTGATGTTATAAAATTGATTATGGTTATGGTTGTACAACTGTTCCTATGATGAAAGTAATTGAGGCAAATGCAACACTTTGAAAGAATGAGTCAATTGTATCTCAATAAAATTGTTTTCAAAAAAAGAAAAGCTTTGATACACAAGACATGGATGGAACTTGAAAACACTGAATGAAAGAAGCTAGTCAGCTGATCGTAAATTGTATTATTCTCTTTCTGTGAAATGTCCAGATTAGGCAATTCTATAAGGACAGTAGTTTCCACATTCCCTAGGGCTTGGGAGATGGAAAAGTTAGGGATTCACAGCTACAGGACATGGGTTACTTATTGAGACTATTAAAAAGTATGAAGTTGATTGTGGTGATGCTGTGCAGCTCAAGTACCACACTAAATAAAGGCCTGGGAGATGGCTATAGAGTGGTGGCAAATGCCTGTAGTCTCAGCACTCAGGAGAGTGAGGGAGGAGGATCACGAGTTCCAGACAAGCCTGGGTACCTAGTGAAACAATGAAAAATAAGTAAGTTCGAGAGGAAGGAAGATCTCTGTGAGTTCAAGGCCAGCCTGATCTCTATAGCAAGTTTCAGGCCAGCCAAAACTAAGTAAGTGAGACATTACCACCAAAAGTTAAATAATAGAAAGTGTGGTGGAGGAAAATGTTGCAGTGGGTAAAGAACACAACCCATATAAAATGCTGGGTGCCTGTAGCCCTAGAGTTTGGAGGGGTGGAGATAGGAAGATTCAGGGGGCTTGCTGGCCAGTGAGTCTAGTGAGAAACTCTATCTCAAAAGGTGGAGAAGCAATTGAGGAAAGTCTCCCAGTCATCAACCTCTGGCCTCCACATGCTCCAGCACAGATGGAGTAAGCGTGTACACACACACACACACACACACACACACACACATTCAGGTGAACACCTGTAATCCCAGCACTCGAGGTAAAGGCAGACAGATTAGGAGTTCAAGGTCATTCCTGCCTATATAAAGGGTTCGAGGCCAGTTTGGACTACATGAGACTTAGTCTAAATTTTTTTTAATTAATAATAATAGTAAAGCCTGGAAAGGTGGTGTACAACTGTAGTTCCAGCTACTCAGGCGCCATAGCAGGAGGATGACTTGAGCTTAGGAATTCTCAGTGAACTGCATATATTAAATGAATGAATTGTATAGTATGGGAATTACATCTAAAGAAAGTGATTTTAAAATTACATTGTAGCTGGGCATGGTAGCGCACGCCTTTGATCCCAGCACTTGGGAGGCAGAGGCAGGCAGATCTCTGTGAGTTCAAGGCCAGCCTGGTCTACATAGTAACTCCAGGACAGCTGGGGCTACAGAAAGACCCTGTCTCAAAAAGACCAAAAAAAATTACATTGTTTGATCTCAGGTGTATAAAAATGTATAATTGTACACACACAGGGAAAAGATAAACTATTGAAATAATGTTTATCTCTATGTTATGGGTTTATTGATGATTTTATTTATTTTTATTTTATGTGTATGAGTGTTATACCTGCAATGTGTGTAAGTGCACCTGTTGTACAGTGCCCACTGAAGACAGAAGAGGGTGTCGGAGGCCATGGAACTGGAGTTATTGATGGTTGTTAGCCACCATGTGGGTGCTGGGATTCAAACTCCAGTCTTCTGCAAGAACAGCCAGTGCTCTTAACCTCTGAGCCACCTCTCCAGCCCCTGTATTGGTGATTTTTAAAAAATTTTAAATTATGGGGCTGGAGAGATGGCTCAGCAGTTAAGAGCACTGACTGCTCTTGCAGGGGACCCAGGTTTGAATCCCAGCACCCACATGGCGGCTACAAACTGTCCTCAACTCTAGTTCCAGGGGAATCCAATGCCTTCTTCTGACCTCTGCAGCATTGCACAGCACAGGTGCACTCACATACATGCAGGCCATATACTCATACACATAAAATAAAAATAATTAAATATGGGGCTGGAGAGATGGCTCAGCAGTTAAGAACATTGGCTGTTCTTGCAGAAGACCCGGGTTTGAATCCCAGCACCCACATGGCAGCTCTGCAGGCATTGCATGACATGGGTGCACTTACCTACATGCAGGCAATACATGCATACACATAAAATAAAAACTATAAAAATATTTTTAAATTAAATATATTTAAAAATTTTTAATTACATTTATTTATTTGTGTACATATGTATATGGGAGTGAGGCCAGAGGACAACTTGTGGGAGTGGGTTCTCTGCAACATTTGAGTTCTGGGGATTGAACTTGGGTCAGCAGGTTTGGTGGTATATACCCTTACCCACTGAACCATCTCCATGGCTTTTTTTTTTATGTCTGCCTTTTCCATACTTCCTACTCTTAATTTCATAATCAGAAAAATATTACTTAAGCAGCTCAGTAGTTAAGACCACTGGTTGCTCATGCAGAGGACCAGTACCCACGTGGCGACTAACAACCATTCATAACTCCAGTTCCAGGGGATCTGACAGCCTCTTCTGATTTCCATGGGCATTGCACACATGTGGTACGCTTAGATATATGCAGACAGTTTTAGAGAGAGAGACATATACTTTTTTTTTGTCTTTTTGAGACAGGGTCTCCTTGTAGCCCCAGCTGTCCTGGAACTCACTATGTAGACCAAGCTGGCCTTGAACTCACAAAGATCCGCCTGCCTCTGCCTCCTGAGTGCTGGGATTAAAGGCATGCACCACCACGCCCAGCGAGAGACATATACTTTTAAAATATTTTATTATTTTTATTTTTATGTGTATGAGTGTTATGCCTACATGTATGTAAGTGCACCCATGTCATGCATTGCCCACAGAGATTGGAAAAGGGCATTGAATTCTCCTGAAACTGGAGTTACAGATGGTTGTTTGCCATCATGTGGGTGCTGGGAATTGTATCCAGGTTCTCTGCAAGAGCAGTGAGTGATCTTATCTGCTGAGCCATTTCTCCAGCCCCAGAGAGATACATAAGTTTAAAATACAACATTGGGGCCAGGCATGGTGGTACATGCCTTTAATTCTAGCACTCAGAAGGCAGAGGCAGGAAGATCTCTGAGATCAAGGCCAGTCTGATCTACATAGCAGGTTCCAGACCAACTGGGGCTACCGGGAGATGCTGTCTCAAAAACTACCAAAAATATTTTAAAACAAAAACAAAAAAACACAACACTGGGGACTGAGGGGGTAGCTCAGTTGGTGGGGTGCTTGCTTACCATGCACAGAGCCCTGGGTTTGATTCCCAACTATTACATAGCACCCAGACGGATGAAGAGGTGGAGAATGGAGGATCAGAAGTTCAAGGTCATTCTAGGTTGCATTGCAAGTTCAGGGTCATCCTGGGATAAATGAGGCCCTGTCTCAAAAAACAAAAAAGGAGAAATGGCTCAGTGGTTAAGAGCACTTGATGTGGGGAGCTGGAGAGATGGCTCAGCAATTAAGAGCACTGACTGCTCTTGCAGAGGACCGGGGTTCAGTTCCCGGCACCCACATTGCAGCTAACAATAGTCTGTAATTCCAGTTTCAGGGGATCCAATGCTCTCTTCTGACCTCCTGGAGCATTACATAAAAAGGGTACAGTTACATGCATGCAGGCAATACACTCATACAAATAAAATAAAAACAATAAAAAAAATTTTTTTGTCTTTTTTTGAGACAGGGTCTTCCTATAGCCCCAGCTGTCCTGGAACTCACTATGTAGATCAGGCCAGCCTTGAACTCATAGAGATCTGCCTGCCTCTGCCTCCCGAGTGCTGGGATTAAAGGCATGCACCACCATGGCCAGCTGATGTTTTTAAAAAGAGCACTAGATGCTCTTCCAAGAGACCTGAGTTCAGTTCATACTGCCCATGTAGGGCAGTTCACAACCATCTATAACTCCAGCTCCAGAGGACTGAATGCCCTTTTCTTGCCTTTGCGGGCCCCTCATAGACACAGTGGCATATGTATGTGTACACACAAAAAACTTAAAAAACAAACATGGACATTGTGAGTACATAGGTCCTATAGCCATGGCAGCGGCCAGCTGTGGTTACAGAATAGAAGCTCCCACTGACATCCATCTGTGCCTCACAGCAACAGGACCTGTCAGCAGCTAAACTGTGCATTGTTCCAGGGCAAGCACCAGGTTGGATTCATCTTTGTACTCCAGCATCTAGCAGTATCAGCATGTAGTTGGCACTCAAGAAATGTATGTGGATGAACGATGCCTGTGACAAGCAACTAGACTTTATTCTTTCCTGACCCTTGCTTCTCTGATGTAACTCCTGACCATGACTGTCACCCCTTCAGAGCAGAACTTCTCTAGGGAACCAGGAAGGGAAACAGCTATGGCCAAGGACATCTTGGGGGAAGCAGGACTGCACTTTGGTGAGCTGAAGAAGCTATGGATATTGGACCCAGAGGTCACCCAGCAGACCACAGATCTCAAGTGCAAGGACTTTGTGGACAAAATTGGTCAATTTTAGAAAATAGTTGGTGGTCTAATTAAGCTTGTTGGCCAACTTGCAAAAGAAGCAGAAAATGAGAAAATAGTGCTCAGAACTTGCACAAATCCACAGCAAAGCAGAGAGAAGCTCAACAGCAGCAACAGCAGCACTGGTAGTAGAAAAGAAAAAACATTGAGAAATCTAGGTTGTCTGTGAAACTTTGCGTAAAGCAGACACAGAGCAAAATGAATAATTTGACCAATTTACTTCTCAGAAATGAGCTGGTTTAATTTTTATAACAGGAAGACAAAAAGAGCATCCCAAACAAAAATGTCTGTACCATTTCAATGATTTGATGAAGGACCAAGTGTGCATGGCAGTGTGTGAAGAGCCCAGCCCTCTAGTCTGGGGTGACTGCTAAAGCCTAGCACTGGGCCTCACCTCTTCCATTCCTAGTGGAATTAAGCAGGCTGCAAACTTTGATAAGCTTTTTTTTTTTTTTTTGTAAATTCACAAAGCTCTGGAAAGAAGAGCAATAGATTATCATTTTCAAAACAAACACACACAATACACTACAACTCAATTATGTGTGTGGTACAGTTAGAACCCAGAGAAGAGAAGGTGCTGAAGACTGAATTTAATTGTGTTCTGAAATTATTATACCTAGGGATTTG